GACGGATGGTGGCGGAACGCCACATTACCGATGCTGGAACCATCGCTCTCGCCCTCGTTATCTAGGAGTTCGTGGGAAACGGCAGGAGCGGAGCCTGCCATTCCTATGAATTCGGACACAAGGGGGGATGGCGCCAGCGTTCTTTGGAGCCCCCGAGCATGAGCGTCTACGGAGGACGCGAGGTCATAGGGGAACCGAACGTACGGTGTTCGTGGCGTGGGTGGTGTAGTCCCTCCGGATGATCGGTGGGAGGTAGTAAATAAAGGATGAATAAAGCTACGCATATTACTTATAGTGGGGTTTGAGCAGAGAGTTTGCTTGGAATGAAGCGCAGATGCCGCGCCGTTGTGGTCATGTGTCCCGGAGTCTATGGAGAACGTCTCTCCGACGGGTGCCGGGTCGCGAGTCTCCTCGCGAAGGTGGAGTACGCCGAGCCGGTCGGCGACGAAGTCCAGGCTTCCGAAGAGGAAGGCCTAGGATGGCTTGAAAGCGAGTGGAACCCGCATCCCTAGAGGCGAGAGTGCGGGATACTCCAGTGAGCCGAGGTGAATCGTATCGCCCGAGCCTGCCACGGTGGGGGTGGTGGAAAAATGGGCCATCCGATGACCAAAAAGTGTTGAACGTACAACGTCTTCCCCACGGACGGCGCCAACTGTCAGTACAGAAAGTGACCAACTAGTGAATATTTGTAGTTTTATTGTACGTTGTGATCGGAGGTGGCCTAGCACTCAATGACATAGGATATATACTGGTTCAGGCAACGTGCCCTACGTCCAGTCAGGGTCGGTCGGTGATTTTATTCTTGAGCCCAGGTGCTCAAAGTCTGTAGTGGGGTTACAAAACGAGAAGGAGAAATGAGGGGTGTATGAGAGGTCCAGTCGGGTCCGACCGGAAGGGCCGAGGGCGACCGGAACTCCACTATGAGCTAGGTATTCAAGCGTGTGTTTGAGAGGTTGCGAGCTATCGGTCTAGTGAATCTAAACTCGAAGAAGATCGTCCTCCCGTTGGAGGGAGCGCATCCCCTTTTATAGAAGAAGGGAATGACTTTACAGGTGAGAGGGAGAGAGTACGGATGTTATGAAGTCTTGTTGCCCACGCCGATGAGGAGTTAATAATGGTAGGCGCCCACAACACTGTTAATGTTGCTGTAGAATGTTAGGTGCACGTAGGAGGTTGTGGTGGCTTCTTCGGGAAGGGTGGACATCGGTACCTGCAAAATACTGTTGGTGTGTGGGGAGCCCCACCATGTGTACCAGGTATGGTAGATCCTGGCGCCCCCTATCGATGCCCAGAGGCATGGGGGGCCTTTTGCCGTATGGGAGCCCAACGGCACCCGCAATACTATAGACACAAATGTCGGTGCCTACAATACTGCTTGTGTCAGGGCGGTCGTGGAGCATTGTTTCCGCAGGCGTACAGGGTATGGTCCCGGTATCATGGTTTGACTTAGTGCGCTGCCTTCTCCGTTCGCCCCTGGTCCCTTCCGAGCGGGCGTCCCCGATCGGATGGCTCCAGTCGGCCCTGGCTGTGCCAGTCGGAGAAGAGCGGTACGCAGGCTTACTACGGGTCCCTGGTCGGAGTTGCGGGGTCGGAGTAGGAAGCAACATTTTGGGCCAGGCCTTCCGATCGGAGAGACCGCCTGGAGGCAGCTGGTGCTCGAAGCGAGCGCTCCGGTCGGAGGTGGGCCGAAGGAGTTGATGAGCGGGCGTTCGTTCTTTCGGGCAGACCTCCCGGTCGGCGACTGGGCTGTCCTTCCAGCCCGTTGTATTCTTAGACCTTCGGGCCGACCCATGAACAGCATGCTGTTTTCTTGGGCCGAGCCCTGGCGTGGAAGCCGGTCCCTGAGGGACCCTGGGTTTGTGAACCCGACACATACACTCACTACGATTTCACTTTGTACATGCCACATGCATAAAACAATGCGGTGGTGCCTATCTAGCTTGAACAAATTTACATTTTCACCGAAAATGACTCTCACCTACCTAACATGCCGGACTTTTGTGACATTACAAGATGTACGGATTAACTAAACGTCTATCATCCCTGTCTGTCCTCATATAAAATTAAAATTAATTAAAGCCCAAGACCTCATTCGCCACTTTGGATCATATCTTTGTTCGGGCATTTGACGATGCTCTTAAATAATAAAAATTCACAAAGATTTTGTCGGTGTTTTGGACCGGGGGTCCTCAACCAACTAGTGAATTTGAACTGCGTGCCTCTAATCCCGGATGGTGATGCAAAGAGACACAAGGTTTATACTGGTTCAGGCAATCGGTGCCTTACGTCCAGTCTAAGAGATCGATCTTGTATTCCTTGCACTGAAGTGCTCGTAGTAGGGGGTTACAAGCTGAGCGAGAGAGGGAGCTAGTCCCAGGTCTCTACGTGGTGTGGTGCGGGCTGCTTGAGACGTTGCTCACAGGCAGCGGGAGAAGCGTGTGTCTGAATCTACATGAGCCTACGTGAGTGTTCGTCTATCTTTTTTCCTCTCTTCTTGGGAACGGTCCCGGTCTCTCCTTTTATAGTTGAAGGAGGGACATGGGTGATATATGTGTTTGCTATGCGGCGAGCCGAGGTGGCGTTTCTGAGTCCTATAGCTTGCTACTGTGACAGCATGGTCAACGGAGTGGTCTTGTCCTTGATGCACTGGAGCAACGCGCCGGTCACACCCGATCTTGTACGACGTGGGAGTTCCAGTGATAGCTTGGCGCAGGGCATGGCCGAAGTCGTGCTGGTCGCTGTGCGTTGATAGTGAAAAGAGCCGAGGCTCGGTTGGTGCCGAGGCCAAGCTATCGTGGGGGGCTCGGCGGGCGTGAATCCCGAGGCTGCCATGACCCTGAAGTGGACTGCCGAGGCTTGGAGGGAGCAGTTGGTTCTATACATTGATTCCGAGACTACATGACCCAGACTTGACTCCCCACGCCGCGCTGTCCCCGGAGCAGGAATTAGGTAGCACAAGTCGGCACGGCAAGGCGTCGATTATGGGCACAAAGATGTCAACACGATGGTTGGTAACCCCGCCTGTCCTGTCTCCCGTCCGTCGCCGCCACTCATTGCATTACTACGCTAACGTGCTACTGACGTTGCGGGAGTGGTTGGACGCGCGACGTTTTGTCAGAGAAGTCAGTCGAGACGAAGGCGACGAGGTTGTTGCCGAGCCGGCCTCGAGCGAGTCAGAGAATCGGTCACCTGTCTGAGGCCGTGCGGGGCGGGGCCTCGGCGAGAAGGCCTCGGTAAGGCGGAGAGTTGGCCTTTCGTCCGAGGCTTTTGCGGCACAGGCCTCGGGCGAATCGGTGAATCGGTCGAGACCTCGAAGTTGTCCCTTGATTTTGATATTTGCAAGGTCTAAGCAATTCTTTCGATTCTTGCTTTGGGTATCCCTTTTTACGATATCCGACAGATTTAAAGATGTTGGATGAGAATCCGTTCTCTATTTACACTTGGCTTTTAAAAAATTACTTCTCAACTGCTCTGTATTTAACGTGCACTAGAATTACTTGTTGCCTGGTCCCATCAGAGTCATGCTATCGAAAATTAGGCTGTCATATCGAATATTTGAATGTATGCATGGAGTATTAAATATAGACTAATTATGAAACTAATTATACAATTTGTGACTAATTCACGAGACCAGTCATTTAAACCTAATTAGTCTATGATTTGACAATGTGGTGCTACAGTAAACATGTGCTAATGACAGATTAATTAGGCTTAAAAAATTCATCTCGGAAATTAACCTCCATCTATGTAATTGGTTTTATAATTAATCTATATTTAATGCTTCTTATTAGTATGTAACATGAATTTTAGGAGCGACTAAAGACAAAACACCCCCTTAAAGAGTGGAAGCTAATAATTAAGAACTTTACCAACCAGACTAGCTTTGCTAGGACAAACCATGAGTTCTTCCCTTGTGCATTTCGCTTTTAACTTTGGTGGCCTTGTAACACTTGTAAGATTGGCGGAGTAAGGCCTATTTGGTGCTCGCCTATAGATGCTCTGCAGGAAAAGCGGCCACACTAAAAATACGGTGGACAAATTATATGTCAGACATTTGACAAACTTTTTTTTTCGTGTGATAAGGGTCGATGGCATCGCAACTCAAGGAGCAAACCAAACAGGTGACTAACTTCAGATAGAGAATATGTGATGCGACGTGGTGCGGTGACCTCTGACTGTAAACCAAGCGCTTCCTAACTTGCGAGGTTTTCTAACATTGCTATAATGGCATGTCTGACGTGACCAGGAGGAATTCAAGATTTTAGATATCTGAGATGATCATGTCTAGTAGTTAGGTGCAAATGGTAAAAAAAATCTGTATCATTTAATTCCTAAAGACTGCAGTCAATACTTAAGATTTCTATCCCTTTTCTATGGATTCAATTAGCGCGTAGCAGAAAGTGGACTCTGAAACCTTCTTCGTGTAATAAAAACAAGCAAAGTAGAAGCAGGACGACCGTTACGCTGACGTTTCGAATAAACTGATCAGTTAGTTTATTATTACTCTTTCTTATGCTAGATAATATCCGATTCTTTATGATGAGCTCCCATTTTTTCTTTTTTAAATAATAAAAGAGAGACCAAGAAGAAAGGTGCATTGCATTATTATATGGACTGATTTATTATACGAGATACGTGAAATTGTAATTAAATTGTTTGAGCTGATCATCGTAATCACAGTGGATTCAAACAGACCTTCACAAATTCCATGCCTAAAAAAACGGTGATGTACGGAAAAAAAAAACAATCACCTTCAACGGGGACGGACATCCGCATCCGCACGCCATATAAAGTCCAGGTGGCAGGCAGGGAGGCAGGCAGGCGGGCGTTCCGTGAACCCGTGACACCCGTGTCCCCGTGAGACGAGACGAAGAAAAGAGTCGCGGCGGCGGCGGCGGCGGAGTAGGAGCTCAACTCATCAATGCCTAGGGTTTGATCCTCCCTCCCTTCGCGCTTCGCTCGTGTTAACCATCCAGCCCCCCCACCACCCTCCCACGACGATGGCTTCGCCGCACCCGCTCAGCTGGGCCGACGCGCCGCCCTACCACTACCACGGGACGACACCCCAGCGGGCGCCCGACTCCTCCTCCGACGGGGCCGGGCCCCGCTCGCTCTGGATCGGCGGCCTGCTGCACTGGATGGACGAGGACTACCTCTACGCCTGCTTCACCACCTCGCCCGAGGTCTGTCCCGCTCCCGCCCCACACTTCGATTCGATCAATCTAATATACTGTTGTGCTGTTTGTTCGATCATCATCCGTTTGGTGCTGGTGTGCGGTGCGCTTGACTTGCACACCCAATTCGCCCTACCGTTGCACTGGGGCCTGGGGCCTCCTCAAATTCTCGTGCGCTCAATTTTTTTTATTTTAATAATACTAGCAACTACTAGTTGTGCGTCTAGGAAGGAACACCCCCTGCATGAGCAAGCAGTCAATTTGTTTATTCATTCTTTCTTTTCGTGTCGCTGCGGCAATGCACTAGTAGTTTAACCCAAGCCACAGGATTGTGGCCTAATCGTCTCAAAGTCAAAGCCACTGCATTGATTGATTTGTTCATTTATTTAATGGTCTCAAAGTCAATGCCACTCGTGCATTGATTGATTTGTTCATTTATTTAATGGTCGCTTTCGCTTTTTATGTCTCATGGGTGTCGTGCAGCATTAAATATTAATTATGTAAAGGCTATATATTTTTTAAGCTCAATTTCTAGTCTAGTTTTACTGCAGCACAACATTGTCAAATCATGTGACTAATTAGGTTTAAAAGATCATCAATTTCAATTTTAGTTTATTTATTTATATGTAATTGATTGATTGATATAAACTACTACCAACCATGCTCACTCCAATTTCCCCTTTATTTATATGTACTATTGATTGATATATACTACTCATCCACCTATCACCTCCTTATTACTACTGTACTAGTACTATCATCTATCACGCCTGCCCAAATTGGAGTATTATCCTCCCCTGTTTTCCTTTCATTGTGATACCAATACCCTGAACCTCAGCATTGATGTTTCGCACTGCAGTAGCACGTAGATTGCTATTAGTGTTCCACCTATGTTTCCTCCTCCTCCTCCTCATTATTATTATTACTACTACTATTACCCTATCATGACTCCCTATTTCCACTTGTTCCCTCAACATCTTCGGTTCCTGTGATGCAGCTTCTTTCCATTGTCATCAGACGGAGCAAGCAGACTGGGCAATCAGAGGGTTTTGGCTTTCTCAAATTTGCTGACCATACCGCCGCTGCTCAGATTCTCAAGTCTTACAATGGTCAGAAGATGCCTAACGCTGTTCGAGATTTCAAGCTCAACTGGGCCACTCAACAACCTTCTACCGAGAAACTCCCTGATCCAGATTTCAAGCTCGACCCAGCCATGCAGCAGGATGCGCCTCAGAGGCACGCCGACGACGATTCCTCATCTGAGCATTCCATATTTGTTGGGGACTTGTCCTATGATGTCACAGAATACATGCTACACCATCTGTTCAAGACCCGCTACCCATCAGTGAAGAGCGCAAAAATTATCTTTGACAGGTTCACTGGTCGCTCAAAATGCTTTGGCTTTGTTCAGTTTGGAGATGTCAATGAGCAGACACAAGCACTGACAGAAATGAATGGAGCCAACTGTTCTACCAGGCCTATGCGGATTGGACCTGTTCCCAACAAGAAAAGTACGTACCCATATGACCTAGTAATCTGCGGTTTAGCTTCTTTGATTGATTTTAGCTTCCTTTGTTTCCTTGAGTTTCAATGCCTCAAGCATATATATCTGTGTAGGCTGTTCCTCTGAGTTGCTTTCCTCCAGCATTAACATATTTTTGCTGCCGTCAAATTTAAGTTTGCGTGAACTTTTTTAGCCACTAGAAGTTGCAAAGTAAGGATTATCAGCACTGCTTGCTTATTAGGATGCCAGTGGAGCCAGTTCACTCTATTTAGATTTCTCATTCAAGGAGAGGTCTTTGTGTACCGCATTGTCGTTTCTGTTTCTTTTGGCTCTTCCTTGTTTCATAAAGCAACAAAATACAGTGTGTGTTGTAAAATCTTAAGTTATTTGGTCACAAGGACCTCCACGCAATGATATTCCAGGTGGGGTTTCTCTCCCCCTCTGTTGACTGTAAAAAAAATTGCTTAATGCTAAGACAGTATATACAGATGTTCTCGGTACACTTTTTGTAATGTTGTTGCATTGCAGTGTATTAGTCTATTGCTACTTGGCTTGTGGTGCGTGAATGTAAAATACAGATCAGTCAGAAATCTAGAATATAGGATAGGATGCATTAGCATTACATTGTCCATGAGTATTGTTGGGTTAATCACAAATACTTGTGCATTCAAGATTCAGAGTAGCTAGTAACTATTATATTAGCCTGAAGTAGCAGTCCCAATAGAACCATTTAATCAGATTTTTTGTCATATGCAGATTTTTTCCACAACAAACAAGGGGCTGAGTCTTATCATGATAACAATTCAAGGGTGAGTACATTTTTTTCGCTTTTTGAAAGCAGTCAGACGGAAGAACATTTAACATAAGGATGTATTTATTGCTTGCAGCTATTTGTTGGGCAATTTGAACAAAGTGTCACTTATGAAGATCTGCTGCAAGCCTTTCGTCCATATGGAGAGCTTATTGATGTCAAGATATTAACAGGGAAGGGTTGTGGGTTTGTCACATACTCTAACAGGTAATCTGTTTTCTGTCATCGCAATTTCAAACAGTAGATGGTGGACCTGCAGTGAACTAGCTGATCAATTTCCTCGTCATGACTTCAAGCTATATGAGAACTCTTATAATTTTTTTGTCACATGTGGTTCGTACACAAACCGCAACTGTAGAATTTGTGATTGCAAGAATGTAAACTTTGGCTGTGTCGTGCATCTTTTCAGCTGGCTCAGCAAAGCCCCCTCACATGTTCTAGGCAGGAGGACTGACTTACGTGTTTTAGGGCATCTGCAGAGGAAGCCATTAGAATGCTAAATGGCAGTCAACTGGGAGGTAAAGCCATAAAAATTTCATGGGGTCAACGTTCAGCTGACAAGCAGGTAGTTTCCATAGCTTGTTTATTTGCTACGTAGAAACTAATTTCCATCCAAGTTTTGTTTGTTTACATGCATACTCTTCCTGCACAAATATGGGCAGGCTCAAAGGAATAGCGGCGGCTTCGGTTGGTCTCCTTAGGATCCCTATGCTTATGCTCAGACAGGACATCCAGGATATGGATATTACCAACAGCAGCAGCCCACAGTGCACGTAAATTTTTTTTGGTTAGAATCAGGAAGAAGTATGTCTTCAGAGATTTTAATACATTGTATTTGTTTTTGTAATAAAGTCGAGTATCAGAGATTCATTCAAGTATAATGAGTAGTACATTATATCTTTGTGCAGTGAGATCATGTGAAGAAAGATGTCAGTCACAAGGAACAGGATGTAGAGGGATTTTTGATCGATGAAAACTGTCACGTCTTTTTTTGGAAATAGCTTCCTCCTTTGGTTGCGTTGCGGCCGCAGCTGTATCCCACGACGGAGGCCCCTGTGATGCCTGGGACGACAGTGTTGCTATTACAGACATCGAGAATTTGGCCCCTTGAATGAACCTGTTGAAACAGAGGATTTGGTTTGCCTGAGTTTTGCTGTGCCATGGATATTACTGTCATGACCTGGGTTCACACTTAAGAGCGAGTTACTTGTTTCGTGTTTTTTTTTTTTCTTTTTGCCTGCGCCGGTACTTGCATGCATATGTGCAGATGTTTCGGCTACACTGCCTTGAGAGGGCATCAACCTGTTTGGTTGGCTGGTTCGTATCGTTATTGGTTCGTTTATGTGAGAGAGAAGTACTGCTGGCTGGTTCATTGGAACAGTGTCTATGTGAGGGGTTGGCCAGCCCAGCCCCAGCCGATCACGCTGCATATGTGGCACCTTGGTCTCAGCCTGCCCTGGCACATCTGGAGCTCAGGTATAGTAATAGCAAATTTGGGCGTCCAACGGATGCATCCCTAGCGGCTCCCCCAGCCCACCGCCGCCGCCGCCGGCCACCATCCCGGCACCGGCGGCCCCACCCCTCCCCTCCCCAACACCTCCTCGCTCCCCACAACTCCCAAGCCCGTAGGTCCTGCCCCCTCGGCAGGCTTCGGCGCCGCGAGATGCGCCTCCACCAGGGCATCGCCGCCGCAGCTCGTCTTCGGGCCGGGCACTGCAGCCGTCGGGGCTGGCGCCTCCTCTGGGCCGCCGCTGCTCCAGGCGCCGCCGGCCACAGGGGATTTGGCCGATTTTGGCGCGGCCAGCCCCCGTGAGGGCGTGGCAGCAGGTGACGACGCGCCATCGACAACGCCGTAGTCGGCCGCGGTGGAGGGCGCCTCGCGTGCGACCTCGGCAGTGCCAAGTGCGCTGGCCCCCCCACCAGCCTCCGGCGCAGGGTTGGCTCATCGGGCCCAGATTTGGGCCTGCGCGGCCCGACGCCGGAATGTCGCTTCCTGGGGCGCTGCGGCTGCAGGACTCTACCTCTTCCACCTGCTCCAGGGGCTCCGACCCCCTTGACCTCTCCCTCGTCCACGCTGGCCGCCCAGATCTGCCTGCGATGGGGCTTGGGTCACCGGAAGTCACGGGAAGCCTGGCGGGTGGGAAAGGCGGCTCCTTTCCGGAGGTCAGCCCGGCGCCGCCGTCTCCGCGTAGGCGCCAGGAGGCTGCCTTAGCCCCCAGCTCACCCACCCTCTCTCCGGTCACGGTTGGAGGGATGGTGGACGAGACGCTGGTCGTCGTCGAGGACGTCCTGGATGATGAGGACGAGGAGGAGGATGCAGCAGGCTCGGGCAGGCCCTCGTCGTCCTCCCTCTTCACGCCCCCTCCCGTTCTTCCCCGCCCATCGGTTAGCTGGCAGGAGTAAGTTCCAGCGTTGGGAGGAAGACCCCGGTGCGGGTAGCTCCGACAACGAACCCGCTTCTTCTGCCACGTGCTCGTCGTAGCTGAACGCTGCTTGGAAAGCTCTCCGAGCCACGTCTCCACCGCCGGCAGGAGCTCTGGACGCGGTGCAGTGTGCTATGGAGGGAACCCATCCGGTGCCTGCAAGGGGGAAGCGGCGTCATCGGCACACAGGACTGCTGCGCCTAATGGCTGTGGGACTCAACCGTTGAACGCCGCGCGAGTGCCCTCGCAGCGTTGCCTTGGTAGCCAGCGGTGAGAGTTTCGGCGCACCAGTGATTCGGCCCACGACGTGAGGCGCCCATGCCTGATATGTTCTGGCAACCCTATCATGGGGCCAACGTCGACGCCGATGGATTCTAGATTGTCGAGTCGTCATCACCGACGCTGTATGGGGAGTACGGCACCCAAATGCCACCGTCCCGTCCCACCGGAGCTTGTGGGTCTCTGCTTCAACTGCCTTGCGCACGACCACATCGCCGCTCAGTGTCGCTCCCTGTCCCGCTGCCTACATTGCCAGGATACCAGCCATCGGGCCCGGGCGTGCAAGCATGGTCGTTCGTTGACGTGCAAGCGAGGCCCTTCACCGGCGTGCAAGCCTTCATCCTCAGTGGTGCGTCGCCCCAGCCAAAGCGCCTTTGAGGAACGTCGCCCTGCTGGTCCAAGGCGATCCAGCTTGTCGCCAGAATGTCATGCCACGCCAGGTCAGACTCCGACAACGTCGTCACCTTGTCATGTGCAGCGGTCGTCCACGCCGTCATCGTCGCCGCAGCAGCACCACAACAGCAGCCTGCCGGTATCACCGCCTCTGGGTGGCATTGATAACCGTCCCAAGGTCAAGGTCTTCGTCGTTCAGAGGAACGTGGAGTTCGCCGCGTCTAGAGCAGACCTCTCCCTTGTTCTCATCATACTCGTTGGTGGAGACCAGCCTGTCGTCACGTCGGAGGAGTTCTAGGCACACTTTTCCTCGAGGTTTCGTGTGTCTGTGGGCGCGATCGAGGTCTGTGCTCGGCTCGGGGGCCCCTTTACACGCGAGTGTTAGCAGGATGACCACTCTGGCATTGCTATGCAGGGAGGCAAGCAGACACAAGCGGTGCACCCTGAGCCTGAGCTCGCAGTGGACCGTTGCTCGGAGGTTCAGCGTTGGGAATTTGATCCCATGCTGGTTGAGGTGGAGGCATGTCTGACCAAAAGGCCACCTCAGGCAGGCTTTACGAGTTAGGCCATGTCGAAGGTGGCTAGGTGGTGGACCTATGCCTTTCAGGCCTAGACGAGTGTGGCTCGGGCCAAACCTCACCAAGGCCCTCACTCTTAGAGCCGAAGCAGGCTGGGGGACCCTGAAAGGTCCTTGTTGGTTTTGGTAATTGAGTGACAACCTAGGTGGACTAATTGTGTTTATGTGAGATACACAGGTAATTAGTCCACAGGTACATGTGTATGAGCAACATATGCCATGGAGGTGAAAATGGCTTGGAGATGTTGCAAAGCTCACACATGTGATGATGAAGGAGCTTATTGCACATGAGACATGACATTGAGTCATGTGATCAAGGTGGAGAAGATCAAGACAAGACTTGGCTTGATGGACCGGTTGCAAGCGTGAAGGGCAAGTCAAAGGCTTTGGAGTGATGGACCGCGTGGCGGTGAAGCTTGAGCAAGACTTGGCGCCGATGGACGATAGCAATGGTGAAGAGCAAGTAGAGTCAAGATCGATGAACCAATATGATCATGTGATGATATGAAGTGGATCATATCATTGTTGATCATGTTGGTGCATGTGTTGCATCGACATTGAAGGAGATGGAATGGAATGCGCAAGGCAAAGGTATAACCTAGGGCATTTCATTTCACCGGTCATAGGTGTGTAGAGAAGTTTATGACCGGGTTTAGGATAGATGGCCGTACTATCAAGAGGGGCAAACTTGTTTGCATATCGGTCATCTAGTGCCACTCGAGTGATCTAACTTTGCATTGTCGCTATGATCGAGTGGCGTGGCAAGTTGAGTGGCTAACATCCTTTGGGAAATGATTGTGAAAATGCTAACACACATACACATGGTGGTGTACACTTTGTGGTGTTGGCACATTTACAAAGGAGGTGGTGTTTGCAGGGGTGAGATGGGTTTGGGTCCCTCTCTTCCTCCCGCCGAGCTTGCGAGGTAGGATTCGGCGCTTTCAGGAAAATAGAATGCCTATTTTCTATTGCGCCGGATGCAAGTTCTTGTGGTTAGCACATTGGAGCAAGGGTGATGAAGTTAGAAGTGAAAACGAGTTAGTCGCGAAGATGCTGGCGTCGGTCAACTGACCGGACGCTGGATCTGAATGCACCAGATGCTGGCAGGCTGCGTCCGGTCAGGCTGACATACGATGACGCAGAAGCTGGAGTGTGATCGGACGCTGGCTACGTCCGATCAAGTGTGACCGGACGCGTCCGATCGAGGTCGGTACCTTACTGGAAACGACCGGACGCTGGGGGTTCAGCGTCCGGTCAGTTGAAAGCTGCTGCGTCCGGTCAAGTCAAGTGACCGTTGGAACCGGGACACGTGGCCGTCTGCGGGCGACCGGACGCTGAGGTCCAGCGTCCGGTCAACACGACCGGAGCGTCCGGTCAGCCCGATCGTTGCCCAGTGAAGGGGTAACGGCTAGTTTAGCCCTTGGGGCTATAAATAGAAGTGGCCCTCGGCCATGGCTGGTGCTGAGCACCTCAAGGGACTTAGTGTCCATGCTTGTGAGTGCTTGGGAGCCCTCCATCACACACATACTTGATAGCGATCATCCGATTGTGTGAGTGAGCGATTCTAGTGCGATTGCATCGTGAGGTTGCATCGAGTGGCACTAGGTGATCGAGTTGCGAGCCGGTGGTGCTTGTTACTCTTGGAGGTTGCCACCTCCTAGACGGCTTGGTGGTGGTCTCCGTCGAAGCGCGCAAGAAGCTTGTGTGGCGCTCCGGAGAAGTGCTTGTGAGGGGCATTGTGCTCGCCCCGCGGGAGCCGCGAAGAGCAACTCTAGTAAAGCATGTCATTGAGCTACCCTCACTCAAGGGGTAGGTTCTTGCGGCGCCC